AATCTCAAGAAAAAACTCAAACCAGTTTGTAACAACTGTAAATTATGACAATTTTGAGGTGAACGGTCCCTTTAACAAATATTACTTAGTCCTGACTCTCACAAAGTAAACTCTTTGAACTTCTAATTTCTTTGCAGGAAACAAAAAAAACGTCACTGAAAGTGAGGCATGCCACCAAATCACACCTTGAAGCATGTCGAATGTGTGACATCTGAATGTGCTGTGATTAATTGAAGAACTGCCACTGATGATTTCACTCTCTCACCAAGCCAAGGAACAAGTGCACCCCGAGGTATTGTAGCTAACAATCCATTATTCAAGGAGGAGGCTGCGGCTCCGAGCTGCAGAAGCACAGTTGACACCAGGAGGCTCTGAGGCCATGCTCAGTTACAATTATAGCTCCTAACACAGCTAGACTGGAAGAGGAGAGCACACTTTAAATCGCAGACCTGTGAAGCCGAGAACACTGGGAAGCTACAAACAAGCGTTCAAGCGGGACCAAATATTAGTTCATTTGCCTTCTTATCCAGGAACATAACTGTCAGCTGAAGATTATTTGGATTGATATGTCTATAGTTAATTCTTCGGGGTGGCAACTTAGAAAGCAATCTTATCTGCCTTTGAGGAACACTTAAAAGATGAAGTATTTGCAATTCATAGCTTAAAAAAAAAAAAAAAAAAAAAAGTATGAGGATGTTTCATCAGTACTATATATTTCGTTGCTCTTGCAGCCGCAAGGAGACACTTTAACAAAACAGGTTCATCCCCTCAGGGAGCAAAGAACATTAAAGAAGACTTTCTTCTAAATGGCTGAGATTAAATATAGAGAACATTTGAAGATTTCTCATCTTAAGAGAGAAAAAGACACCAACAAATCTCAATTGAAGATGTCTTAATGTCTCAAAATGAACTTACATTTACCATTAAATCAAATTAAGAAAGCGAATGTCGATTCAGTTTCACGTCAGACATTTCTCATCAAATTCTTTTACTTGTTTAGAGCAGAAGTGCCCAAAGTAGGGCCTGTGAGCCAAAGTTAGCGCATTGTAACCTTTGCTTTAGCCTGCCATGCCATCCCATCAGCAAAGAAAGGGATAATGATGGGGGGTTGGTTGGGGCGAATGCCTTTGGCAGAGATCGTCATTTCGAATTTAATGTACAGCATTTTGTTTGTTTGTGTAATTGAGGAGCAACAAAAAGACAACTAAAATTAAATGTTTCACATGAATAAGACTTTTACAATGTAAATACTGTCACTTGACAGATAGAGAACAATGTACAAGACACCGGTTAGCAAATCAAGGCAAAGGCAGGAGCAGCTCAACTAGTGTATTCAGTATTGAGCTTCGTTGTGTTATAAATGGGATTATTTATGTTTTAGTATAATAAGTTGATTATAAAACATTTAAAATATACTGCATGATCATTTAATATGTGTTAAAGCAACTTTTTATATTTACTTTTATATAATAAGCAAACAAATGAGCAACTTTTATGTAATAGGGTTTGGTATTTTACCTTCTGCCAACAGCCCTCAATCAAGTTTGGTTTTTGGCCCTTTTTAAGAAAAGGTTTTGGCACCCCTGGTTTAGAGATATCTTATTCATATTAGTTTTATAGTAAATTATTTGTTTTATGCTTATTTCAAATGATTTAAAAAATATAATAATGATAAAAAACACCCAATGATGTTTCTACTGAGTTGTGAAAGAGTGAACAGGATTTCCTCTGAGCCAGTCTCCCATGGCATGCACTGAAATTGTACATTTGGGCAAGATGCCTGATAAGACTTACATTTTTATTGCTAGAAGGTCAGCGTGTTCAAAATCACAGTTGAACAAACTATAGATATTGTGGGAAATACTGCAAGTTACCAAGAAATCCAATTCCATGTCAATACACAACACTTTATTTTTAATGATTGTTATGAGAGGGGATTTACGTGCCACATATGACAACATTGGGTGCAACCTAAAACAGCAATTCAGCAGTAGTTGCATCTCTATGTACAATGTTAAAGATAAAATCCAAGTGATGCAAATCTATTGAAAGAAGCTGCAAGAAACCTGTCCACTCTAATTCTGACAGCCCAATTGGATCCAAATGGACGTGCATCACTCGCATGTCTACTATAGGAGAATACATTCACTGTGATTGGAGATCGATAAGAACAGAGAGAAACATCCACTGAGCTCCGGGAAATGGATCTCAAGTCCATCCAGTGTGACAACTGATCAGTCTCCTCCTATTTCACAAAAATACTGATGTAATGTGGCAAGTTGCTTTTACATTCATTCTTTAAAACTCCCTAGTTTGTATCTTTTAACATATTGTTGTTGTTGTTTTCCCTTACAAAGTATATTTTATTGATTGGTAGTTTTTATTTGTTTGTTTGTTTTTGCAGTTTTTCTAAAGCATTAATCCTTTGTAAAATAATGTTAGACACATTGTCACTTGCGAACATTAACTATGTTTTCATCCAGAGTTGTGAATTTATTTCATGAATGCAATTAAGATCTTGAATCAAACATTTATGAATAAAGCACCATTTCAACCATATGTCTTCATGTAAAAGGAATGTAATATATGCATAATGCAAATAAATGTTTATACAATCAGGGACACCACTGTAGCTTTTTTCCTATCATAGTTAATAAGCTGCAGCAGATGGCATGCAACATTAAGTGACTTTTGTGTTTCCATCATAGTTTATATGCCAATTTTTATCAATTGAGCACTTTATTTTGTAGAATTTATGCACATCTTGGCACTTCTATTTAATCAGTGTACTGGAAACAAAACCTTGTCATTAAACCTGTGATGATTTCTGATTTTACATTTGAAGGTAAACATTTTGCAATAATTTCATGGCATTATTATATGTATATTAGCAAGCTTCATTATTATAATAATAATAATAATAATAATAATAATAATAATAATAATTATTATTATTATTATTATTATTATTATTATTATTATTATTATTATATTTATTATTATTATTATATTTATTATTATTATTATTATTATTTTCATCCATATTATCAAAGAACTAGGCTATTCCAATAGCAAGCACTAGTGATTCCTGTTTCAAGAATTACTGTTAAAAGAGCATCATAGACAAAAACCGTGGGAGTAAGATCAGGAAAGCCGTAGCCGCCTGTCATGGGATCCCATGTAAATAACGTCTCTCCTACTACATTCACTGACTTGACCAATAAAAACAACATGAGCTATTATGAATGGCATTTAAAAAAATGCGAATGTGGCTTACTCTCAGAGTTACAGCAAAGTAAGCATGTCTTGTTTGCTAATTTCATGGCACGTTGAGACGCGCAACAAACATTTTGTTTTAAACGAGCCTTTTAAGGTCATTCTCCGACGTGCCGAATAAAAGCAGTACTCATTCGGTCTCCCTGTACAGCAGCAATTGAAAGTTAAAACAACGTCCATGGCAAAAACACGCATCCTACGCTTTGCCACTCACCTTTGACGAGATGCGGGACAGCGAGGTGCACGCAGAGGGCGATGGAGACGAGCAACGGTCCCATCCTCACCAAACAGCGGTTACGAGCTCCAAGGTTACGAACGTTCAGCGGCAGCGACGGACAAAACTTCTTTCTTTCACTCAGTTACACGCAAAGGTCTTCGACGAAGTATCTCCCAGGACAGGTGTCAGTGAAGTCCGTGTTTTTCTCCCAGAAAGGGTCAACGGAGATGAACTAAATGATCCTCTTTGGAGTTCCTCTTGCCCTTCTGCTGCAGTGGTGCGCGGCGAGATAACGGAGAGGCTCCGCGCGGGTCCCGATCAAACGGTGATTGCGCGCGGCGGACGGTCAGTGTAGCGCTCGAGCAGCGGCGCTGTCTTACTGATAAAGACGAGCCTCGCTCCTCCCCAGCAGCCCTGGAGCCTCCAATACACAGAACGAACGGAGAAATCCAAATGGGTGGGACAATGTCAGTGTATTTTAGTTCACCCCGGGAAAGACGCTCTGAACAGGTACAACACTTCTGACCCCCGCTTCCGATCACACATTTATCACATACACACTCTCTTATCTTTGTCAATAGGTGTGTGAGTGGGATGTCAGGGTACAAAGGTGATGGCTTTAACATTTTATTATGTTTGTATTATTATTATTATTATTATTATTATTATTATTATTATTATTATTATTATTATTATTATTTTATCTTTTGATTTTTTTTTTTGCTTTAACGCCAAAATAAATTATAGGCTAGAAAATGTGCTTGTTACAATTTCTTTACCCTAACACTGTAGTGAATTGTTTTACAACAGTTGAGAGTAATTATTCATTCTTCTTCTTTTTGGCTTAGTCCCTTTTATCTAGGGTCACCACATCGGAATGAACCGCCAATGTATCCAGCATATGTTTTACGGATGCCCTTCCAGCTGCAACCCATCACTGGGAAGCATCCATACACACTTATTCACACACATACGGTAGATTTAGCTACGGACACGGACAATTTAGCTTAACCAATTTACCTATACCGCATGTCTTTGGACTTGTGTTGCGGAAACCGGAGCACCCGGATGAAACCCACGCAAACATGGGGAGAACATGCAAACTCCACACAGAAACACCAACTGACCCAGCCAGGGCTCGAACCAGAGATTGTGTTACTCATTGCGCCACCTTGCTGCCCCAGATGAAAGCAGTTTATTTTCAATAGTTTATGTTCATAAGTTATTATGTGTATCACAATATGTTTATCCTATCAATCCAAACGTTTTATTTAAAGCAGCTTAATTTCAAATTGAAAAAGTTAACAAATAAAAGGCCTATCTGATTTAATATCTGTGAGTTTCTTTTTTTTTTTTTTTTTTTTTTTTGCACTGTAAAACGTGCAATAATTTACAGCTGGAAGAGCATAGGCTGCATAAAACGTGCTGGATAAGTTGGTGGTTCATTCCGATGTGGCGACCCCATTTTAATAAAGGGACTAAGCCGAAAAGTAAGGTTTAATTAGCAGAGTACCATAGTTTTGCTTAAAATATTGCAATGCACACAACATTATGGGTGACATATCAGAGTTCAAAATTGTTGGTGCGCGTCACGCTTGCTCATCTGTGAATAAAGCTTGGCACCGGAACACGGTGGGCACATGACAGTTTAAAGGGCACCTATGGTGAAAAATCTACTTTTTAAACTGTTTGGACAGACATATGTGTTTGTATAGTGTATAGACCGTCATATTGGCATGATATAAACAAACACAGTCCTTTTTTTTTCAATTTAACAACATTTAAAGAGTTCACACTTAGCTGATGATTAATTATAAAAGCTTGTTTGGCATGCTGTCCCGGGAGAGAGCCCTGAGCTCATTAGATCCTCAAGCCCAGGGCTCCCTCCTGTTGCAAGGAGGGAGGCGAGTTTGAGCTCTGGTAGATCTCGAGAACTCCCCTGCTGTAGCAAGTGATTGCTCTTGAAAATAACTACGTACTAGAAGCATGTCTATGGTGCCAATTTGGATTGTTCAATTGACTTAATTGCATGTTTTTAGGCGGTGGGAGGAAACCGGGGAACCCGGGGGAAACCCACGTGAGCACGGGGAGAAGTGTAAACTCCACACAGAAATGTCTGCTAGTTTGGTAAAGCCAGGAACCAGAGAAATTCTTGCTGTGAGGCGACAGTGCTACACACTGGGCCACCGTGTCATCCGTCTAAAAAGGAGGAGTAGGGGTGGAAGGGGGGACTCTTCAAAACGAAGATAGCAGTGGAATGAAACCCAGGGTATTTATAGTAGTTTAGGAGTCATCTGATTGGAGCGTAGTGAATTGGATAATGCGGATCCAGCCGCTAGCAATCATAAGCACGTGATCCTCTCGAAATTTGTTTATACATAAACTTCACAAAAACGGTGGACCAGTGGTTTTTAGATCGACCACAACTTGACATAGGAGTGCAGTCCCACTGGTCAAAAACATTGATTGACATGCACGTCACCATATCCTCAGTTTGTCATTTCACTTCCGCCTTTTTTATTGGTGAGTCAAAGCAACGTCACTAGAGGAACATCCTTGCTCTACTTTTAGATGTAAGGCTCATTGGGCTCAACACAAGATCAGCATTCACCACATGATCGATCTAATCGGAATTATTGTTTGTAACTTTGTTTGTTTGTAGGTAGGTTTGCAAACTAGAGAACTTTTCATTGCTTTTACCTTAAACTTCAGCCGTTTGCATTACTCGAGGTCACAGAAGCTCCCTGTGAGTGTGATCTTAACTAGGTGCAGTTGAAAGTGCGAGCGCCTTTGCCTTATGTGAGTGTCGCTCCATGGGAAATAAAATGACAAACTTGCCAGCAGGTTACACACCAGAAGTGCCGCTCGGCGACGCACAGAGTCACGCCATGCAGCGCCATGCATTTTAGAATTCTAAACATAGATTTTCTATCAGGGTACACACAATGGCGCTATCCACGCCTCCCAGCCAGGATTCGAGACACTTGTTTCTGCCGCGTCACAGAGCTCCATCTGAATAGTTTCATTTTAAATAACATGCAAATGTGCGTGCCTGGTGTGCCATGTCACGGCTCTAAGTGGGTCATCCGTATGCCTCAAAGTTAATTCAGTGTGCGTGGCTATTAGTCTCAGTGTACAAGCTCGGGACTTTAAACTAGCACACAGTTGGCTGTAAAACTATACAAAGACACAGATGATTGCGTACTCTCTGCTTGGTCTGTGTCCGAGGCGTACATGTATGGCTGAATGCTGATCCTCTCATTCATGCTGCTTGCTTCTCTCTGTCTGCCTGTCTGTTGCCAAACACAGAGCGGGGGAGCTCTCGGCTCCGCTCCCTTGTTACATTGGGCGGGAATTTGAAACTAATTTTCATGTGAAGCAAAACACCTCTAACACAGCGAGCTGTGTACACGCCCCCCAAAGTGACACATTATAACACATTATAATAAAAAATCTGAACTGTGTTTTGAATGGAACCTAAACTGGCACACTCAGAATAACCATAATATTAATAGTAAATCATAAAAGGGGTTAACCATGTGCCCTTTAAAGTATGGCACACCAGACGCACACGTTCACAGGTTAAATTTTAAATGAAACTACTCAGATCGCTCTGTGGTGCAGCATAAATATAAACACTGTCCTAAGTCGTGGCTGGGTGCCACGGAAAGCTGTCGACTTGTGATCCCGATGTGCGTACCCTAATAGAAACTTTTGTGTAGAACTCTAAAATGCATGGCACTGCATGGGGCGATATAGCGCATCCAGTGTGCAACCCCCTTTAGACAGCAAGTCTTTGTGATGTTACAAAAGTTAAGAAATCTAGGGTAATGTCAGCATACCACCAAGAAGGGCAGACAACATTCAACAGGATTTACTCAACATTTCAACTCAACATTCAACAGGAACTCACTGCAGAATTAAATGTGCACCTCAACTCTCCTGTTTCAACCAAAACTGTTTATTGGAAGCACCACAGGGTCAATATATTGTCCCCTTAGAATTATGTTTCTATCTAATTTTATTATTATTTTTTTGTCATATCAAGTTATTGACATTATTAAATGACAGTATTAAATGACAGCTTATTTAAAGGATGTTTTTTATAAGTTGTTTACATTAAGACTTTGTTTAAAAATGTTTAAAAATATTACACACATACTGTTCGATATGGAATGCAAAAACTTTAAAGCTCGTTATCTCAAAATCATTCAGAATGCAGATAGAACCTTATAATTCCAAGGTGCCGATATATGGCTAGAATGCTATAGCCAAACCTTTGGTCACTTGTGCCAATGATAAATGTTGGTTTTAATGGTGCCAGCATTGGAAATCTTGGGCTGTGGACAATGTAAAAAACATTATTCTCTGATGAGTTCAATCCCTAACCCCAATACATGTGCTAGATGGGTGTGTCACTGCCAAGGACTACAAACCATTCTGGAGGACCATGTGCACTCAATGATTCAAAAATTGCATCCTGAAGGCAGTGCCATGTATCAGGATAATAATCCCCAATACACACAGCAAGACTGGTAATAGAGTGGCTTGATGAACATGAAAGTAAAGTTGAACATCTCCCATGCCCTGGACAGTCACTGGATTTAAATATTATTGAGTCACTTTGTGGTTCAATAAGTCAGTGTCCAGCAGAATTTAGCTCCAGCTTGCTTCAACACTTCTGCCAGGATGTTTCTAGTATACTTAAATAGAGCTTGATTAGCTGGTTCAGCTGTGTCTAACTGAGTTTGAAGCTAAACTATCTATAATTCTATTCTAAAACTAAATCTATCGATAATCTGCCCCACTCAGAGATATCATCTAACTCATTATATAATTCATATTCCTCCCCAGTGCCCTCAGGGGGCTGTGTGGTGTTAATCCTGCACCCTTTAATGGCTTGAGGGCAGCAGTTTCCAGTATTTTCTGGCATTTGACCAGGACCATAACAACACTGAAAGCCTCAGCCCTTATGGAGGTTTGAAGAGCAGTTAATTTAACAATCCCCTCTCAGTCATCCAATTCAGAGCTCAACTCAAGAGATCTGGGCTAGTACAGTCTTATATACTTCATAAATACAAAGAAGTAGCAGGCTTGTGTCCTAATCTCGATTTGCATCAGCTAAGCTATTCTGTCAGAACATACAAGTTCAAGTTGTTGACTGTCAGGACTATCGTGTCACAAATTCATTCAGAGGACTGGTTTGTAATGATTGACCTAAAGGACAAGTGTCTGTCTTTCAACAATACGGGCAGTTCCTGAGGTTCGCTTTAAGGTGAGAAGCATAGCAATATCAGCTTCTTCAGTTCAGCTAACACCTTCACAAAAGCTATGGACGTGGCACAACAAACATTGTGTAATCAGGGTAAACGCATACCGTATTATATTTATGATTGGCTATTTTTCACACAGGGCAGATAGCAGTTCAGCTTTGATATATCAT